ACACACTGAGCGGTCCAGATCATCAACATGGTCTCTGTGGTGGGCCCACGGAGGCCCAACAGCTCTCTTCAGTCCAATTTGGACCGGAGAGATGCCTCTCCCAAATATTTTAGAGTGTAGACTTTTGGACAAACAAAATTCAAATTTTGATTTATAGAGTGCCCAACTTCTTATTAATCATTGTTTATTATATTCAATTTAAATTTCATTATTTTATTCTTAATTTTTTAAGTTTGTAAGTCTAATTCATTTTTGTTATAAACGTTTTTTTTTTTTTTTGGGGGGGGGGGTGGGGGGGGGGGGTTACATTTGTTATAAATGTATTTAAAAATATGATTTGAAAGTATTAGAAATTTTATTGTATAATTCAAAAAAAAATGATAAAATAAAAAGCTTATTGTGAAACATATAGTTGATAAAAAGTAAAATCAAAAGAAAAAATTTGCGTTACGCATTAAAATTTGTATTTTTCTATTTATAAGAAGGGGTGTGCTTTATAAATACTCAAAACCATTGTCAGTTAACTCAGGAAAACAAAAAAATTAACAATAAAAAGTTTGACACCATAACAGATTAGTAGTCCACTCCCAATGTGAGCAGAAAGTAGTTTACAAAAGGGTACAACTTCTTTTTAGTCCGAAAAAGAACTAGACGGTGCTGTTGAGTCTCAATAAATCTAGTTCGAGTTGCATTTTTATATTTCAAATCGTTTAATATATAGAGTTTGTTGTCCGATTAAATCGCAAATACAAATGTAATTTGATCAAGTAACGATCGAAACTATTTATTATTTATTAAAACTAATTTGGAGGAAGTATAATAAAAAAGAATTCAAATAACTATTCAAATTCAAAAGGGCAAAAAAAAAAGAATAATAATATGACGCGTGTATTTTTTAAACTTGAACTTCCGCGACCTTATAATATTTTGTAATAATAAAAAGTATATATAATAAATATTTGATAACATATTAAAACAATTATTTAAGAGAAAAAATGTAATGAACTAAAATCTAAGGGTGATAAACGAGCCGAACAATTAATTATTTAAGTTTAGTTTGAAAACTTTATTGAATTTTATAATTTGTTCTTCAAGTTTGGTCCATTAAATTTTTGGTCCAATCTCAAATGAGTTTTTATTGAATCGAGTTCAAATAGTTTGATATTTTTATGTAGTTTTAAACTTGTCAAACCGAGATAAATGACCAATTGACTATTTAAGTTTGAATTAATTTTTATTAATAAATTTCAAAATATATTTAAAATTAATTAATTTATTTAATGAATTGAGCTCTCATAACAATCGAGCTCTCGATCTCTTTAATTTATTTATGTCCCTCCTAAAATCGTTAGGTAAATAATAACCGAACAAAGAAGTTTTTTAATTTTAGAAACCTGATAGGAGGGTTCTATAATTTCATAAAATCTGAAGTAGGTCAGTGTAATTTACAGAAAAAAGCCATTCTACTCTGTCGGTCGATCTTTCGAACTTCCTCAGCAATGGAATTCCAACGCCGCAGCTTCCTCAGCAAGATCGTATTCGATGTAGATGACTCTGGCAGCACAAACCAGCACATTAGGTGCTTTTTTCGTTAACTGATGATTTTTTGTTGCAATTACACTACATTTCATCATTATTCTTGTTTGTTGCAAGTTTTTTGGGATGCATTGAAATATGGATGGTTGCTTGGCTTCTGGCTCGGTCGAAGATGCTTTGTTAGCCTCTGCACACTTACTAATTTTCTTTAGCTGGCAATTGTTGTGACTTGAATTGACTAGAGAAACTCTTTTAGATTGCTAAGAGCATCCACAACAATGTTGCTTATATTTTCTTCAAATTTTACTTAAAAAGTGCACTCATCCAATAAACTCTTTCATAGTCAAAAAAATCATTACAAATTGTCCCATTACTCTCTCTCTTTACTTTTCTGCATATATTTTCATAAAAAGGATTAAAAACCAACTAAAATAGTTAATTCCCACACAGACTACTGTATGGGTGTTGTTTGTGTGGAGATCACATAAAGCAACTGCTAAATTTTTCTAGAGGAGATGATGTATTTTAGAAAGAGTAACAGTGGGTGCAAACGCGATACATTTGCAATTTTACATTTACATTTTTTGGTGAGAGGTGTTATGATCAATGAGAAAATGGTTCATCTGTTATTGGATTTGACAGTTACTAGATCAATAGATGTGATGGACATTCTTGGGGAAAAAAAATAAAAATAAAGAGTAAGTGGGACAGTGTAGACACCAAATGAAGTGTACACTTTATATAATACTAGAAGTGGTGGCACACCTGATGCGTATGCATACTGATTGAATTTAAAATCTGAGAAGGGAAACAGTTTTTCAATTGTGTAAATAGTATGGTTAATGCAAAATTTTGTGAAACCGAATCTAGGCGGTGGGTGCAAATGTGATGCGAAAGATAAAAGGAATACTTACATTTTAATTGCAGAAATCCAGTGCATGAATCATTTGTACTTTCTTCATTTGTCCTGCTTTCCATTTGGTTGAATGTTTTCTTCAGAGTGTTAAGAATTGAGAAAATCATATCAAATTATCTCTCTCAAATCCGTCTATAGCTATAGCAATGTGCAATTTGGAAGGCCAGATGAAACTTGAAAGCAGCGAAAATGGAAAATACTTCGCTCAACAAAGCCACCATTAGCGATAAATGGAACCGTAAAGAGGAGAACATGGCCTTCTCAGGAATGAAACTGTCATGAGAACGTGGCCTTTGGAAAGTGGTTTGTTAAGTTCACTGCTTTATAAGGTTTCGTATATTACATGTTTACCCCTATGGGTAAAATGCCATAGTCATCAAACAGAAAGGTTTTTTGGTCAAAAAAACTACCATGACACAACTTCCAGAAAATGTCGGCACCAAGTTGAGGCTTCCCATTATATATTAGTATTGATAATAGAAAGAATAATAGATAGATATCAAGACAAGGGAATTAACCCTCCGAAGTAAACACAAAGGCCTCCATCCGCAATGTGGTGTGTTAGGATTCTAGTGAATCTCTCTTTGTCTGAGGCACTCAAGTCCTCCCTCGCTGCAGCAATTAATATATTCTTGACCGATGTTGTGGTGGAATTCAGTGTTATAGACAAGCTATTTAAGATAGATAGCAAAACATTCATTGTAATTGCCTCAATGGTCAGTGGAATTCAGTGTAATTCACATTGGATGTTATGATTAAAAGAAGGGAAAATTACACTTTTCTCCCTTGAACTATCATTCAACATCACTTTACCTATTCAACTAAAAAACGCTACACTTTGCCAACTTTGTGGATATTAAGATTTTGGATGTTGTCTGATAGTTCTTATTCTCAATTTGCAGGTCTTAATGCCTCAAAGGTGCTGCTTTCCTTCCTGGAGTCTAAGCATCTGAAGTTTTTTGTCAATTTGGTGATTTTAGCATTGGCCTTTTTCTTCTTTTATCTATTGAAAACTTCACAAGCATCCTGTTTGTGGTTTGGTTTGCCCTATCGTGCATCTCTGCAGAGATGTTTAATTATTCAATTAATGAGGAAATGCAGATAACTAGGCACCATTACTTTGATTTTTCTGCCTTCAATTACTTTAAGAAAGCAATTAAAATTATATAATTGCTCTTTTGCTCTCTTCAGCAGAGTTAAAGATCTGACTGATGGGGGAGAATGGGGTTTAGATTCTCGCACTCAATTCAACCTTGCCTGCCTTCCCAAGCAGCATTGGAGAACTCCTAAAAAGTACCCATGGTTGCGTGTTGGGGGCATCTTCTCTCTCTCTCTCTCTCTCTCTCTCTCTCTCTCTCTCTCTCTCTCTTCTTTTCTCTCAGTTCTGCTAACAAGGCACACCCCTTGCTCTATGCAAAACCAAACAATTTTTGGTTGGATTTATTGTTTATTATATAATATGTGAGCATGTTGCCAATATTAGTGGGTATGTCTGTCTTGTCATTTTCGTTAATTGGTTCTAAATAAGCTTTGATATCTCGTTATACTTCTTTTGTAAGCCATTGGACCATTTTGTTTCTCTTTCACTACAAGAATTCGTACTTTTGTTGACTAAAAATTTGGTCGGCAAAAGTTTATTTTTAGTCGGCAAAAGTTATCCGCGATTAATTTTTTTGGTCGCCACTTCGGTCGCCAATTGAGGGTCGTGAAAAGTAATTCGCGAAAAAATTATATTTGCTGACTAAATTTTTGGTCGTGAAATATATAATTATTGCGACTAATCCATTTAGTAGCTAAAACACTTTAGTCGCGAAAAGTCATATTTTCCCGACCAAACATGTTAGTCGCCAATTCGCACATTCAACGACCAAATAGTTTGGTCAGCAATTGTCGCCCATTTCCACGACCAACTAATTTGGTCGCCAATTGTCACATTCCGCGACCAAAACAATTGGTGGGCAATACATTCCACGACCAAAAATATTGGTCGGCAATATTCACTACAAGAAAATCGCATTTTTGGCAACTAAAAATTTGGTCGACAAAAGTCAATTTTTAGTCGGCAAAAGTAATTCGCGACCAATTTTTTTGGTCGCCAATTGAAGGTCAGCAAAAGTAATTAGCGACTAAAACTTTTGTTAGTCGGGAAAAAATTAAATTTGCCGACTAAATTTTTGATTGCTAAATATATCATTACTGCGACTAATCCATTTAGTCGCTAAAACACTTTAGTTGCGAAAAGTGACATATTCCCGACCAAACATGTCAGTCACCAATTGGCACATTCCACGACTAAAAAATTTGGTCGCCAATTGTGGCATTCCACGACCAAAAATTTTGGTCGCCAATTGTGACATTCTAGGACCAAAAAGTTTTGGTCGCCAAAAGGAATGTTTGCGCCAACATGCAATAAAATAAACTTGTAATTCATAATAATATATCCAATCTATTCAATACAATCCGTAATTTACAATAATCAATCAAACCAACAATTCACCTGAATCATAAACATTCAACAAACTATATAAATCATCAAACTCTAAACCTGTTTAATTAAAGTCAGCAACTATTATAAGTTTTCATCCACAAGTAATTCCAAACTACATATTCGTTCAATTAAAAATCCGCTTGTAATCTATATAATCATCCAATTCACATCCACTTAGCATTAAAATTTAAAACATATTCCTTAAGTGAAGAGTAGAACTCCCTTCACAGAGCATCAATAGCTTTCATTGATTGAGCAGAAAGAAAATTCTTCCAATAGTATTCATATCCAGCTACGTCTCTTTCAACTTCTTTGCAGGCCTCATAAGCCCGGACAAGAGCAAGGTTATCACTGTAATCACGTGAAAATTGTGCTTTTGCTGCTTCTGCTAGCTGCAAAGAGAAAGACACACAAATCAATTAATGAAACTGATAAGATAAGATACTCAATTTTCTAGCAAAAGCTATCTATTAGTGAAACCACAACTAAAATACCCAGTTAACAACTATAGACATAAAATTATAACAGCATAAAAAATCAAGAAAAATCATGATGGATCCGACTATTAAAGTTATAATAGCATTGAGCTGCTAAGGGGGCAGGAAAAGGAAACAAAATTTCACTGTGGCACATTGTCAATGAAGATTTTGAAGTAGAAAAACATGAATCATCCATTATAATTTTGTAGCTGTTGGCATGAACACAATGAATGATAAGAATCCACCACCCACTTTATTTTTACCTAAATTATATACATATTAACTTGTTGTGCTGAGTAGGGAAAAAAATTTACAATGATGATATGACATGATTATGGATGCATGATATATTTCTCAGTAATTATTATATAAGTATAATAACAAATCTCACTACATGTAAATGTGACAGGTACACATTATATCAAAATAGAGCATAAGCCAGAGCTAGCCACTGCAACCCCAGCTGCAGCAAGACCAGGCCAGGTCAACACAGCAAGGCTGCAGTACCAGCCGCAGCCCGAGCAGCTAAAGTCAGAACAGAAAGGGCTGTAGCTTCAGTCATGCTCACGTGTTATAAAGAGAACTAGCATAACTGTTTCAAGTAGTTAGGCTATTAAACCATGGTTAGATTAGTTTGTTATGATTAGATTAAATATAAAAGCACTGAATCTTTGTAATCAATTCATCAATCATGGTTTTTGCTGGGTTAAAGGAATTGAGCCTAACAAGTGTAAGGATAATATGGCTTTGAGTACAATAAGAAAGTTTTTATGTAAAAGAAAAACTCCGTAAAGATTGAAACCTCAAGAGATATCTCAATTTTGACACCTTCTTTGGCTCCTACAGCTTGATGAATCCCCTCAGACCATCTCCTTTTCTCTTCAACTCTCCCTGTCAACTACAGAAATGTCTTGTTGTGTTAATGTGAGTATTCTGCTCAACTCTCCCCTAAGACCATTTATGTACTCGGTTCAACCGTTTCATAATTGAAGTCCTTCAAAGTATCCAAACTACAGGTGCTAAGTGTCCTAATATAACGCATCAAAACCTATTCAAACAATAAGTTCATAAAATTAACAAACAGTAGCAAACACCAATAGCCCAACAGTGTGATAGACAATATAACTAATCAAAAAGTAAATGGAAGTACTACAAGAAATCAAATAGTAGCAAGTTCATCTAAATATTTCTTGTCTAGTAAATGGCAGTAATTAAAATTGAATATGCATTTCAAAAAGTTATTAAAGTTTAAGATACACTCGAAATATTCCAAGGGACAGTTCATCTAAATAGAATTACTTGTAGTACTGAAGGTAATCTACTTTTGAGCAGATGCTGAAGATGTTGTCAACCTAACTATTAGCAGTTATGAGGGAGAGTTACTTGGGGGACCTTAGCAAACATTAGCAGACGTAGTCATGCTGAACGTAATCTACCTTCAGTGATGAGGGAGAGTTAGGTTGTGGGGTGGCTGAGATAGATGGGGTTGCAAGGGAGCAGGGGGAGTGAGAGAGAGTGAGAAGATGGAGTGTGATTCCTTTTAGAAAAATGTGATTCAATTAAGGAATACTGGTGCTTGGATATAAGTAATTATCTACGTTTAAGGGTATGATAGATATTTTAGTATAAACGTGATGGCCACTATTTTCCATCCATGAGATTAACAAACTGTACGTGTTAAAGTGTTAAATGAATTTAAATTTTGAGGTATGTACAGTGTAATCATGCCAAGACTATGAAGCTATCTATATTTCTTTTTACTTGAGGGAGGTCTACATAATTTACCCTATTATTTATCTCTTATTAGTTAAGAAGTACGGACACGGATATAAAAAAAAAATCCCAAAAAGATTTTCTTAGTATGGTTTTGCAAGCTTGAAATTTTTGAGTGGTCCTTGGTGCATATTGGAATTGATGAGAATATCCATTACATGTTAATATATGTGTGCTTCCTGTGGTCATTACTCGTTTTAGAGTGTGTGTTTTTTATTAGTATGTCTCATTCTGTACACACTCTTGGATTAGCAAATTTTGGAGTCTTCCGCCTTAGTGATTATTTTTTTTATGGACTTCTGTCATTGATCTTTTGCGTTTCTAGAGGAATTGACCTATACTAGCATATCATGGGTGATGTTGAGTCTCTTAACCACCTACCATCCTTTTGCATCTCCATGGCTTTCCCCTTAATTCTTTGCAGTCTAGCCATGAGGAAAAGGCTACCTCAGAGTCACTAACCAGGCCATCCTTATTATATCCATACTTCTCTGGTTCGGTTTCCATACTCTTGAGCGTGTCAGCCGCCAATGATTGTGCAAAAGAAAAAGTAAAAGAAAAAGAAAAAAGAAAAAGAAAGAGAAGAAGAAAAAAATATGCAAAAGAAAGAAAAAAAAAAAAGGATTCATTGATTGAGGGGGAGCCTCCGCCTTTACTCACCAAATACCCCTTGATTCCTAGTGGTTTGACTTTCCTTTGTCGTGCTTAAGATTCTCTTGTCGGAGGTCCAGCTTTCATATCACTACTAGGATTGAATCTAGTGTTTGTCGAACTCCAAGTTTCACATACACACTTTTCTCATGGGATCTATGCTTTTCACATAATGCATCACTTTCTTCATGAGGAATTTTCTACAGACTATGCACATTGTGTTTTCTTGTAATGCTGCTTTTTGGATAGTCTTGTGTGTTTTAAGGTACTAATCTGAAATTTCTGGATTGCTCCACCATATTATTTTTGTCATTTTCTTGTTGTTCACTGTTTTCAGTGTTTGTGGTTGCTTTTAGTAAGGGGGAGTTTGGTTCATCTTGATTTTGGTTGGTAAGGGAGTTTGGTTTATCCTTGTAAGAGTTTGTTAGCATGAACACTTTGATATGTTTGGTAAGAGAGATTAGCTATATGTTTTGCATGTTGCTATGCACTATTATTTCCTTCTTGCATGCTCCTGATATTTACATCATCATATCATTACTTGTGTGGTTTATGATCTAGCTTTTGTTGTTTGAGAGGTGTTTTTCATGAGTCTTAGTTTTCATCTATTCATGTTTTCCATCTCATGTTTCAAGATAATCGTGTCATATGTCTATTGCTTATTCACATACTCTTGTGGGACTAACAGTTGTTTTGGAGATTGTGGCACTAATAACTGTTTTGCAGATCATGACCTTGAGAAAGAAGTTGGCTTTTG